GTCCACTAGATTTTATGGAAGAAAGAAAATTGCTGTTGATAATATCAATAATAATATCAATAATAATACCAATAATAATACCAATAATAATACCAATAATAATACCAATGATGAGATTTCTATCAATTTAAATAATCGTAATTCCATCGGTGCGGATTAAACTTAGATTATAAATATAATTAATATATATAGTGTTAATATATTATTATACTTGTTTTATAAAAAATTTAATTTATATGTTTTATATTATTATATATTTTGCATCATTTAAAATGTACAGAAGAATAAAAATTTAAACGTAACGATAAGCGTCATTATTAAATATGTAAATTGCGTAGACCCTGCATATTTCTGCATGTATACAGCCACGCGAGTGCATAAATCAACTCATACGGAAAGTTTCACCATGATGTTGCTGATTATATGCATTCGCGCGAATTTCTATGCATGAGATTTTAGAACCACATAAAAAGTATCTAGTGTACGTACCCAGAATGTGTATACGTACCATGCACTCAGGAAGTATACCACGATTATACGTACAGTGCCATAAATTTATAATTATCGTGCTATGATACTTGTTATTTTTATACGTTATTACATAAGCACAAATTAAAACTCAGTTAGCCAATAATGACTTGTAGATCATGATCATAATTGCACGATAGCATCAATATTGGTTTTGTCGTTGGCCGACATGTGCCGCGCAGCGGCACATTTCAGCCAATCATTTGTTCTGACAGAACAAACTTCATCGTTACATTAGGGTGTTAAATGCACTATGTAAATCAAATTTATGTATAGTCTCATAGTGAAAATCACTATTGAATTTTTTCGTGTAACGAGAACGATGATTTATATTAAAAAACGCAAATTTCATCAAATTTATTATGTATATATCACTTTTTTTAAAAAGCGCTCTTTTATTCTGAAATATAGGTTCTGTAGAATAATAGAGTAAAATTTTTAAAGAAATTAATACGTAATTTACTGAGGAGATACAATTTGAAATTTGATAATTTTTTATAGTCGTTTCATATAAGATTTTTAAATTTCAAATTGTATCTCTTCTGTAAATTACATATTAACTATTTTGAAAATTTTTCTTAATTGCTCGGCAGAATCTATATTTTAAACTAAAAGAGAGATTTTTTCAAAAAAATTTTCACCAAATTTTTATTTAAATTTATTGAAATAACCTATTTGTCGCGGGCGGTGATGGCATCCGGATTTTGTATTTAGGATTGAAAAGGTCTGGCATGTAGTAAAATTACGCAAGGAGTATTTTTTCTTAAGTAACGGAAGTTGATTTCATAGACATAATTTTGAGTTATTTTGATTTAAAAATCTCGAGATTTTTGTAACTGCCGGTGACAAATAGATTCGCCTATTTTTATTAACAATGATCAAGTAGTTTACTATAGATATTCGTGATCGTTACACAAAAAAATGTCTATTCAAACATTCATATGGGACTATACATAGTACATTTAACACCCCATCGTTACATGACCAATATCTTATAAATATTCAAAGTAACAATCTATTACCATATAACATATCGATATGTAAAAATTATTACAATTTCAGTATTTATCTGTATTTACATTTTGTGTAAAATTTATGTTTTCGTGATTATATGCAAACCACAAACAATATCAAAGGAATCACTCTCCGATGATTTTCTAAAAAAATATACTGTAAAGTAATACGTACACGCAAAATGCGCATACATTGTTCCGAACTTTTTAACTGGATTTTGACAACTTGCCAAAACGAAAAAAAAAAATCTTGATTAGTTTTTTAAGACTATTTTGATAAAATTTAGAGATATCTCAAAAAGATAAAAATCTTTTTTTTTTTAAAAAAAAAAAAACGTCGTAAAGAAATTCAATATATCGTTTAGTATTGCTTATTGTACCCCAATAAAATAAAAATTAAGGCCCGGCTGCCAACCACGGGAACTCTATTAATCAAATGCGGTTTGTCTTCAAAGATCTAGATTGTTTTGTTTGTTATAATGCAAAGTGTGTATGCACTCGAAAATTTTTCATTTTACAACATAAACTCAATATACTCGGTGCTAATCAATTTAAAAATGGTATTGAATAAGACCTGGGTACTATAAGCAGTGCTAAACAGTATTCGATTTCTCTTTATGAACTAAATAGGAATGTTATTTAAGAACTATAATAAAATTTTTTTTAGTGTATATTATTGAACAATGCTACTATAACAATAATAATAATAATAAATTTAATGTTGTCAATAATATATTGTTGTCGAATAAGGAATATATAATTAGTGTTTCTTCCATTTCTACTAGTAGGCCTAGATTAGAGGCACCGGACGGCATGCTTTGTGAAGTAAAAGCATGTCAGAAACGATAATTTTCTGCAAAACTGCATATTTCACGGACTGGTAGATTTATCACGGATAATTGGATTTAAGCCTAAATTTCAAGATCTAATCATTTTTTGCATGTTCTTAAACTGAGTTTGTCGGAGATTCTCGGATAGATAGCCAACCAATTAATACAAAATATGTGCATGAAGTTTCGTAAGTTAGTATTAAAGGAAATTTTGCGCAGGAATAATTTTATTACGAAATTGTGTACAGAAATAGAATTTTGGCTAATTTTAATTACAGAAATATCCCGAAGTTATAATTTAATGACCACAGTCTTTGACATTTCGTGTAACACTTTCAACAAGATCTGTAGATGGATATCAATTTTGAAATTTCATAGGTCGAGCTAAAAAAAAAACAAAAAACAAACAAAAAAAAAAAAGCAAGAGAAAAAAAACTAAAAAAAATACCCTCTATCTTTTAAAAATCCACTCTATTAAATTTCCATCTAACATATTCGTCTATATTTTACAGCTGTTTTCAAAAAGATGTGAAACCCGATTTCCATACACCCATGTAGGGAATCGAAAAATGTGAAAATTCTGCTTAGTAAAAATCAAAAATCTGATTAGAGCGGGTCTTAAAAACTTTGGAAATCTGGGAAATATCGTGAGTTCTCCTTGGTATAGTGATCTGCATCTTCCACAAAATTTTTAAAACGGCTGTAAAACCTATAAGTATATACATATACTGTAGAAAATAGATTAATAACATCGAGAAATTTATAAATAGTGATAGGGTACTATTTTCCATAATCATTATGCATCGATTTAGAAAATTTAGAAAATTTGCACATCGCTCAGGTTGGTTTTACCACAAAATCTATTTTCCCGAAAGAACATAATACCGACTAAATTGGCCAGAATTATAACTAATGCCGGCTAACTTTGTCGGTATTAGGTCCTTTCGGGAATCTGTCTTTCGAGATTTTGTGGTAAACCCGCTCAGGTTACTGTAGAGGCGATTATCATCAGAAATTTATTGTATACTTGTGTGAGTACCCAGCCATTTTCACGCATGTTATTGGACCACTTCTAATATATGATACATATGATACGCAAACTTGCTCACCTATGAGAGAAATTCGTGTATCATGTTTAAAAATGACCGTCAGTAATATACAATAAGCATGTTATTTGATTAGGATGGATGCTACGTCATAATGGTGACCAAGGGCCACCATTATATCTCTGCATCCTAGTGAATTGTCAACAACACGACCAATAACAAGTATTATATTCCGAAGAATACTGGAATAAAAAGCCTAAAGTATGATCTTTTAAAAATTTAGATAATGAAAAAAAAATCTAAGATCATAATTCTAAAATATTAATAATTTTATTAGTTGCAATATACTGTATATGTAAAAATACAATCAAAATTATATAGCTACTTCTTTTAACTTTTTAAATTTAAAAGCTATAGCTTTGAAGTTTTTATACTATAATAACTAAATTTGTAAAAGTTTTAAAGCTATCCCTTAATCTGTATTCCGGGCAAGTTTGCCCGGAATTTTGAAAAGTATTTACAATTTTTTAAATAAAATTAAAAAATTATTAATAATATAGAGTATATTTTTATATATAAAATATTTTATTTAAAACATATTCTATAAGCTTTATTATAAAAATTTTTTAATTTTATTAGAAATCTTTAGAGTAATAAAAAGTTTTACTATTAAATTTTTTTTCAAATTTCTAAAATTATATATATATATATATAATTTTTTATTTTTAATACAAGTCATAATCTTTATAAGTAAATCACTAAAGATATAATATATTCTTTATATGAACTACAATATTGTATTAAGAACTATAGGTTTAAAATTAATATTTAAAGAGTTTGCTAAAATTTTATAAATAATTTTTTAATTAAAAATTTGTTTGTTTTAGATTATAAGCAATTCAAACTTTTTCTCATAATATAAAATTAAAAAAATTCTAAACCTATACTAGTATATAAATACAGCTATTAATTAATTAATTTGTAAATCTGTGCAATATATATATATTTTTTAATCAATTTGGCAATTATACCAATACTTTTTTTTTTTAATATTTAAGGTAAGACCTTGCTCTTATCTTTATTAAACAATTATACCAATACTTTATTAGGCTCATATACTATATTTATTTCATATTTATTTTATACAAGTATGATTTTATAGCTCATGAAAAATCCAGCATGTAGAATTGATTTTCTGATTATGTGATTTAATTGATTCTCTGGCCCATACCAAGTCATACCGGAATTTGTGAAGCTACCATTGTACTAATGATTTTTGTGTAACTGGCAATGACTTTGACAATGACTTCCATAAAAAACTTTGATAACATCTTTAGTAAATAAACTTTTTACAATATTATTGGCAATAATAAAGAATCTTTTATTAAAAGAAACATATTTAATAGTATAAACTTTCAACATATTAGCTAATATAATCTACTTTTCAAACTAATAAATTGAATTAACAAATTGAAGACTTATACATATTCATTGATTAAGGTAATTATTTAATAGTTTATATTTGTTTTTCAATTGATTATATTTATTTAAATACCTGTATTAAAAAATTTTTAACTTTATATGAACTAATTCATACTAGTTAAAATAAGATAGGAATTTTTTTCTTGTTTTATTTGAAACTTTTTTACTAATTTTTTTACTACAAAAATAATGTCCAGGAGGTGAATCTTTGCCATGTTAGATTATATTATCTTCTATTCTGTAATGTTTCAATATCATTTA